ATTCCTTTAATTATAAACACTTATCATTTATTGAATAGTATGTAATAATTTAATACTTAAAGTGAGAAATACAGTTTGTATTGTAAATGTGACCGGACTTTTCCTTTAAAAATTCATTTAGAAAACTAAAATAAGAGAAAACAGAAAAGTTACTTTCAAATGTTTTTAAACTTTTCTTTACGGGAATTCATTTCTTTTACAAGTTTTATTTTCTTGCAACGATAATGAAACAGAATTCCCTCCATAAGCCTCTACCTCGTGGGCAGACTGAGGTTTTCTCTCAGTGAGGGAGGAATTTCTGAAGACCTTGGATGACTCTGGTCTGCTGGAGCAGCAGGATCACAGGCAGGGAGAATGAGAAAACCGTCAGGAGGTCCAGCTGTGTCCTGGGCTGCCCTCTGGACTCCCTGCAAGAGGTGTGACAGAGCAGTCCTGGAAAAACTGTCATCAATGCTGGACCATGACTCAAACCCCCAGAGGATGGCCTGCCAGCATCTTTGTGACGGATCGCCCCAGCCTGGGTGTGTAACACAGAGATACTGCAGGTCTTTATGCTCTAAGCTTCCATATCAATGCGTTTTTTTGCACCATCTATCACAATGTTTACATGTAATCACTGCTGCATTTTAAGAAATGGAATTGCCATGAGAGTAGTACTAAATTAAATTTCGTTTTGTATACACTCTGTGTAAACAAAATGACAAAAGTTGTCTACATCTAATTCTGTGCCTCCTGAGGCTGTCAGACATTATAATATTACCTAAATATTTAATTATCTTTACCTAAGCTGCTTATTTTTTTTTTTTAAGTTGGAGTCATACTCATATCCGATATAACTTTTTAATTATAGCATAGGTTTTTTAATCTTAAATATTTAATATGATTATGTTATGTAAAACATTTTGTAGTTTGTTGTTTAAATCCTCCTTCTCACATATAAAGCCTTATACGGCTAAGCTCCATCTGCTACCAACTGAGCTAATTTGAATTTTACTTCTGTTTAATTTTGCCTGTTCTTATTTCCTCTCTAAGGGACATTTTTTTTTTTTTGAGTGAGTGAGTGAGTGAGAGTCAGGATTTAATAGAAGCAGATATTCCCATAACTATTCAATAATATACACACAAAATAAAATGTATCTGTACAATCAGTAACTGATATCATCATTCAAAGTTTTTACAATAGAAAGCAAGAAGTTACTAGAATAAAAGCTTTTGGATATTTAGGTACTAAGGTAAGGTTAGTTAAGGTATTAAGGGGAAAGACTCAATATGTAAGATTTACCCCCATCTAGTGGTGGGCTAAATGTATTGCAAGGTCACTCTGCTGCCTCACCGTTAATTCAATTCAGTTTATTTGTATAGCGCCAATTCACATGATGTCATCTCAGGTAACTTTACAATTCACCAGGTCATCCAGTCAGATTGATTCAAAGTTTCCTATCTAAGGAAAACCAGCTGATTGCATCGACTCATTGACTCTTCAGCAATCCCTCACACTAACTATGCTTGTAGCGACAGTGGAGAGGAAAAATGTCCAGCAGAACCAAGCATTTCATTTTACATCCTTTGTCATCCTCAAGAGTAAAGTTTAAGGTTCTAATATAACTGAGGCTAATGCTGATTTATTTTGAATGTTTCAAATTTCTTTATTGATTTACTAATTTTTTTGTGAAAGGTGATGTGGAAAGAATACCGGATGAGCCCCCAAAATGGTGGCTTAACTTAAAAAACAGAATGAGTGACCTACGATGTACAAAGTTTGGAAGTATGTTATCATTGAATTTATGACCACATGAGATAAAGTCAAACACTTGACATAATTTGTTTTTAAAAGATTGAACAATGTAAATACAAAGGCTTTAAGGTGACAGAGTTGGTCGTTTTAGGTTTGCTTTTGGGAGCATTTCATGTTTATTCCGGTGTCGTCCTCAATCATAAAGTTCTAAGAATTTTAATATAATTGGCACTCCTCCTGATTTAAAAAATTCACATCTGGTATTATAAGTTCAAGTTTGTGAATAAAAAAAGGTGCCTTATTCTTAGCTAATACGCATCCCTGCATTATTATCTTTAATTAAAAGGAACAATTTCCTGGAAAATATACAGAAAATAAATCAAAGCCCAGTTTTCTTTGATAGCAACACTGTTTGTTCTGATGTCTCTCACCTTCTTCATGACTCCATAGCTTCTCTCTGTGGCCAACCAAACACAGGACCATGGATCATTGGACCAGCTCTTCTGCTCACAGGTAAAAACTCAACAGTTAAGATTAGATCATAATGAGAAAGCAGCTTAGATAAGGGTAAAATGAAACTATGTCTGATTCCCGCTTTAAGGTTTTTATTTTCAAACAGTACTTTTAATCTTTCAACCAGGCTTCAACATAACCCATACTCTGATTTATTAAATGACTGATATGCTTTTTTTTCCCTCCAAGGTCTGATTTTAGGTAAAACAGCGAACTGTTAGTTATCTACTACTGCCACCTTGTGGCCGTATGTAAACATTAAACCTTGTCAGATGTTTTAAAAAAGGCCCAAACCTGTAGAAATAAACATTCATCAGTGCATTTTAAAAGTAACTTTTTCTGCTGTTCAATAAAAACATGCTTATATTTTAATAAATCTGCATAATAACTGAAAATCATCTCCCTACTCTGTCTCTGTCTGTTACACCTGTGTGTGTATATTAGTGCTGATTAATTACGTAGAAAAGTTTGGTTATAGTTGATATAGTTAAGCTGTTGGTTCATTCTGCCTTCTAATAAGAAACTGGCCTTTGTTGTTTATTCCAAGAGAGAATCTCAGCTGAGAATAGAATAGAGCGGAACAGAACAGAATATAATAGAATAGAATAGAAAATCCCTTTATTGTCCCTGAATAATAAAACATTCCCAGAGGAAGAAGGTTTCCAGTCACAGACTTGGATAAATAGAAAAACGCTGATGGAGACGTCCAGAGATGGAGGGGAGGAGAGGAAGAAACAGAGGAAATTCAGTCCAATGAGAGAAAAATCGACTGGGACCAGAGAACCCAGTTCAAAGCTCCATTCAAAAACTAATCTTTTTTTTTTGTTCATTTCTGATTTTCAGCTCCTCCTATAAAAACAAACAACTTCTGCACACATGGTTAAAAACCCAAAAGAGACATGCATATTTTATTATGTTACCTTTTTATGATTTACTGGAGAAAAATTCCCCCAAAAAAGAAAAGATAAATAAAAAAATATGTTGAAAAAATATAAAATTATGAAAATAAAATCTGGAAAAATATTTATATAAATTAAATTTTAAGAATAAAATCTGAAAAAAAAATATAAACCTATAAAATCACTGGTTGAACATTTGAATACACATTATAAATAATAAAACTAAAACCGTTTTTTTTTTTTTTATCAAACATCCAAATTTCTGATTCTAAAATGCATCTCCTTCAAATTTCCTTTTTTTAGTGTCTTCTATGTTTGAATTTATTAAGAAAAAGAAAAACTAAAATACTCACAAATAAACCAGTTAAAAATAAGGAAATAGTGACTTCAAACTGTTCATGCGTATCGACAGTACAGTGAAGTAGATTCCAGTTTGGTCTGGTTTTATTAAATCAGAGACATGAAGAGCAGAAAGGAAAACCAAACCAGGAGAACAAAGACTGAAGGTAACCCTGGAGGAGTTTCCTCAAAAATTCCCCTCCATCTTTAGCAGGAAGGGCCTGATCCTGAGCTAAAGCATCAATAAAGCAAAGAGGCTGCAGAGCTGCACATGCTGGATGAAAACACGGAAGGTCAAAGTAGACTAATATAAAAGGAAGCCTTTTTAATCCCACAGTGTCAGAAGGAACAGGCAGAGAGAGAAATGTTAAATGTGTCTGCTTCTGTCTCCTTGAACCCCAGTCGGCCTCAGCAGATGGCCGCTCACACTGAGCCTGGTTCTGCTGGAGGTTTCTTCCTGTTCAAAGGGAGTTTTTCCTCTCCACTGTCGCTACAAGCATGCTAAGTGTGAGGGATTGCTGAAAAGTCAATGAGTCGATGCAATTAGCTGGTTTTCCTTAGATAGAAAACTTTGAATCAATCTGACTGGATGATCTGGTGAACTACAGCAGATTCCAGGTAAAACATCAGAGGTCTCTGTCTAGAAGAGCGCAGTCCTAGGAACAGCTAAGATACTGCGCAGAACCCTCAAACTCCCAGGCCTCTGGTAGAGGACCCGGGTTTGAGGATGACACATACCACCCAACGAGGCCTTCTTGTTGATGCATAAGTTTAAAACATGAAGCGAATTAATTTATTCATGTTCCTGATTGACTTTTACAGGTATGTCTGTTTTCACAGTTAAACTACCCCATACATCTGTCCTTCGAATAATAATTTAAAGCATAAACGAGGAATCGTGTCTTCACTCTTTGAAACATCTATAGTATAAAGATCACACGAATAAAAGAATAAAAGGTGAGGTTTCTTTTCCATTTTGCTTGGATTAGTTTTACATTTTATTTGCTGTCCTATTTGAAGGTAAGTCTCCTTTGTGGCCACCAGAGGTCAGTAGAGTCCAGTAGAGTGAGGAGCAATCTGAGGTTATTTATTAACCATCAGCTGGTTTGAGGGTCAGAGTCTCTGGAATGTTTGTTCTGATTTTAACTCTTTAACTGGTTTTGGTTGAAATGGGCTGAATGGAGACAAACTGGGATCTATTAACTTTAAACTCAGCATGCTGTGTTCAAAGGGAAGGATTTCACTTTCAGGGACTTGGGTTCAGGTTTGTTTTTGTCAAAATGCTTCAGCTATGAAGAAGCAGCACTGGATGCTTGACCTTTGAAGTTCATCAGACAGCTGCTGGACGTCCCACCAGGTTCAGCCCACCCTCAGAGCGGAAAGCTGAGAGGAATAAAAACCCAAATCCGGTAAATCCTAGAACCCGGATCTACAACAGAGCCTCCTGACCCAGAATAACTCGTGATCCAGAATAACCCGTGATCCGGCAGAACCCTTCCATCTAGAAAAAAAAAGCCATCTGGCAGCGATCCAGCAGGACCAGCAGTCTCCCTCTACCAGTTTGTTTTCCAAAGTGAACAGAACATTTCCATTAAACCTGTTTTTCTCTCCTGAGATAAAATTAGTTGTTTTGTTTTTTCAGACCCAGTTACAATTAGAACCACCTGAAGCTTTTGATGCTGAAACATGTTTTCTTCCTTCCTCCGAGTGTTTTCGTTCTTCACATCGGTGTTTAAAGAACGTTTAGTTGAGGTGAACAGTTTCCTTGTTTGCTGCTTCATCAGGTTCTGACCGGCTCCGGCAGCTGGCAGAGAAGACCGTCTACTTCCGATGGAGGCTTCAGGAAATGGGCTTCATCATCTACGGGAACGAAGACTCTCCCGTTGTACCCATGATGCTCTACATGCCCGCCAAGATAGGGTGAGCCTGGAGCCAAGCAGCTAACCATGACCTCTGACCTTTTATTCTGACATATTACCTCATGTTCCCGTTTTCCCCTCAGAGCCTTCGGCCGCGAGATGCTGCGGCGAAACATTGGCATGGTCGTGGTGGGCTTCCCGGCCACGCCCATCATCGAGTCGGGGGCACGCTTCTGCATCTCTGCAGCTCATTCCAAAGAACTGCTGGACCAGGTGAGTTCTGCCCGAACCGCTGGCGAGAAAACCCGCTGACTCCACAGAGACATAAAGAAAAACATCCATCCATCCATTTTCCGTCACGCTTACCGGGGTCACGAGGGGCGCCTATTTCCAGCTGTCTATGGGCGAAAGGCGGGATGCAACGTGGACAGGTCAAAGCAAAACATTTAAAATTCAATTATATAATCTCATAATGTTATGACTTTATTCTCGTAATTTTACGACGTTGTTTTGATTTTACGACTTTATTCTCATAATTGTATGACTATTCTCGTTGCAACTTTGTTCTTTTAATTTTACAATTTAATCTCGTAATTTTATGACTGTTATCTTTGCGACTTTATTATCATAATTTTCTGACTTTATTTTCAAAATGGAAAAAAAAAAATCTGTAGCCTGACCCTAATACTCTGTTCTACGGTTCTGATTAAACGGAGAAAAAGTCCGATTTCCCTCCAGAACCTGGACTCTTTATATCCTTAAGAACCTCAAACTGGCTGGAAAAACTCCCAGCATGCAAAGCAGAGCGGATGAGGATTCCTTCACAGAGATGTTAAAGACTCGGTACCAGATGAATCTGTTAGCAGAAGTTCTAAGTCCCGCCCCTCACCGGTTCTAATCTGTAATTAGAAGGGGGGAAAAAAACGACTGGAATCTGAAAAGTACCTAAAAATATTTCCCTTTACTTTTTTGCATATGTTTTCGTTTCAAAAATATTTTTGCAGTTTTTAATCTTTTTTCCAGTTTCAAGAAAAAACAAACTTTGTGGCCTTTATTGAGCTCCTTAGAAGGCAGCTGGATGAGGGCATCATGGTTTCCCTCTGATGGGATCCAGGTAGTAAATAAAAAGTCGCAGTGATGCCTCGTTAAGCTCGTCAGCTCAAAGCAACTCGTATGAAAAGTTGGAAACTGATCTGCGTCATCCAACTCTTTGATCGGCTTTATTGGCTCCTGCTTTTCTCCGGCTTCGGCTTTAATTAAGCTGTTTTAACGCAGCAGGTGACATGAGGGAAAAAAATGCAGTTAATTAAATCCTGACAAAAAAAAATCTAATATTTGTGTTAAACTAAAGTAAAGCTGCAGGAAAATAAGATCTCCGTCTCTTCGCGAGGCGATGATGGAAACTGAATTTTTTTTTTTTCTATCTGTGCAGGCGCTGAGCGCCATCAGCGAGGTCGGAGACCTTCTTCAGCTCAAATACTCGCGCCGCAGGACCTGGCTGACTGGGCGACGACCCTTCGACAACGCCGTGTTCAAGGACATTGATGACTGACTGCAGTTAGCATAGGTCAAGAAGAATCACCTGTCTTCCATGAGGATGAAGATGGCAGCCCATTGCCCCCCCAATCAGACAGGAAGTGACTGACTGTACTTTGCCTTAAAGATGCAGAATCAATGAAAATTGCTTTTGCTTTGATTGTTCTTTTTTGTCTGTTTGTTTTGATCACTTCTCTTCGTGTTTATGTGAGACGGACATCTTCTCTTAAGGTTTTATCATAAGAGGATCTAGCATGAAGCTAACATCTAGTGTAACCATTAAAACCAATTAATGACCCAGTACTACTGAGCTGCCATTAGCAGAAAGTTCTGGATATAATTGCTTTTTTTTTTATTTCTTTCTGGATCTAAAAACCTGTTGAGTGAAACCAGGACCGTTTCTCGGTTCACAAGAACGCGAATATCTCCACTTTTAAATAAAATGCACATGCACAACCCTATACCTGCTCGCAAGAGGGAACATCTATTAAACACGTGAGAGATCAATGCAGGTCCAGCAGATTCTGCAACAGCTTCTTCCCCTCTGCCATCAGACTGCTGAACTGTTGAAAAAACTAAAGCAAGGCTGCTTCTCATTTTACTAGAATGCGAGTACGGACTCGTGTTCTCTCCAAGTCTGTTCTTGAGAAGAACCCAAGAAAGTCTGGACTCTGGAAGAACGGGAGCGCGCAGAATAAATCTGGGTTAACTGGAACAGAAGCGTACTGATGACATCACCACATTCAAAGCTAGTCTGCATTTCACCTCCTGGTATTAATAGTCTCTAGATAATAATAAATTCTGACTTTTTTCATTTGGTGGAGGAATAATAATGAACACAGTCAGATAAACACAAATCAAATGAACATTTTGCTGATTTAGTGGCCCTTCACACACGTTTTTAGACACCTCACATCTGATCCACAGATTTTCTAATTTGCTTAAGTAAAAAAAAAACAATCCACTGGACTTTGTTTCCAAGTTTGAAGATGTTTTGTTTCCTATCTAGGAAGCTTTTCCAAGTCAAAGGTCACAAATAGCATTGAGTTCCAGGTTTTATCCAGCAGCCCAACAAAGGCTTGTTTTTGTTTAGAAAACATGCAATTTGAAACGCATGAACGGGTCCACCCTTTGGAATGGGGGTCGTTTGGCGTCTTTTTTGACATCCCTTTCATAGAACTGGGCCTGGGGAACACTCACAGGTGAACTGTGTGACAAGCTTGTTCGCTGTCTTCAACACCTCATCCAACGTCGGACGACAAATGGGCACACGGACACCCACAATCCTAGCTAGTTCCTGATTGGCCCTCTGGCGTTTTGGCATGGAATAACATCTAAGCGCAGACCACGCTTCAATATTGGGCATAAATCAAAAGTATCTGCATCATACCTGCAATAAGCTAAGTGTGACACACAGCTGCAGGAGGATAACCAGCCCTGTAGGCAGGTATGTTGCTTTGCAGGCTAATAAAAGAAGCTAAACGACCTCCATTCCAAAGAGGCGGACCCAGTCGTTTGTTTCAATTTACATGTTTTCTAAGCAGAAATAAAACTTTATTTTTGGTCCACTCTGTAAAGCCCTGAACTTTATTTCAAACGCTATTCCTGACATTTTGAACTGAAAAAGCTTCCTGGATGGGAAGATAAATGTCTTCAAACTTGGAAAACAAAGTCCAGTGGTTTGTTTTTTTGTTTTTTAATTGTTTTGGAATCCCTTTAGTGTATCTCTGGAATGATTTGGACCCAGCTGGAGAATTAAGCTCCTGTTTTTAGTCTTTAGAGGAAGATGATGATTTGTTGATCAATGTCACACATTAAATCATCTAAGATTCATTTTAGGAAACGTTGCATAGAAATATTCATAAACAAGCTGCCCCAGTCAAACCAGATCACCATGACTACAATAAACACATCTGAAGGAACTCTCTTTATTCCAGTTCATCATTTAATAATTTTCTTTAACATGATAGCAGAGGTTTATGACATCACAGTATGAAATCCTCAGCAGGTCTGGGTGACGCTTGAAATCCTACCGCGATATTCTTCTCTTAACTTCATAACGATAAAATAGATCATTATGTATTTAAACTCTTTCTGATGTTGTTGGGCCATAAACCACCATAATAACATTGGACATTAAGGACCGATGCGCCCCCCCACAGTAACCTGACTCCGCCAGATGGATTTGCTCCGCACATCGCGAAAATACTGGTTAGCTAATTGGCCTATGTTGGTGATAGACGGGCCAAATAAACCGATCAGATCAACGAAGCATATGACGTACTAACAGAGCGACGACGAAAACCAGAAGAACAAAAAACATCTTTTCCTCTGAGAAAAGCCTCCAGAGCAGTGTTCTGCTCTTCTTTCAGTGAAGAAATACTTTGTAATTCCGATAAAACTTGCTCGATAGACACGCTAACGCTAGTTTCATCGGCTGAAGCCGCCATGTTCTTTAGACTGAACTGTCGCGCTTCTCGTTACGTCACAACTCAACCCGCCTCAAAGCCAACGCTGATTGGACATTCGTTTGGTGAACAGCTCCAAATTTTCTTTAACGGAGAGTCTCCAGACTGATTAGTGAGTGAAACCTTGAAAGCTCGCGAGATCAGGATGGTCTCACGAGGCTTGAGGACAAAAGCAGCTGTCTCTAATTTGTCTTTCTATGCAGTTGCCCGAGGTTCACACTGGAAGAGGAAGCCACCATGGAAGGCCCGAGTCCTGCACCAGGTGGAAAAACACATTATTTCACGGGTATATAATAACCTATCATAGAGTTACAGCATGGATTAAACTTGTTTATATTTTCTTATTTACATCTCAAAATATAAATTGATTCAAGAACATCCAGATTAACAGCTGTTAATCTCTGAGCGCAGTGTTCTCTGGATGTGAGGCAACCATCTTTTTTGCCTCTGTTATTATAAACGGCCTGGTTTTGGATGTGATCAACCATGAAATGGCCGTTAGTGATCATCAGTCCCATAGAAGGACTTCAGAATGCGCCTCCTTTACCTTCTAGCAGGTTTCTTATGGCTGATAATATGCAGCTTATCGTTGATAACACATCTAAAACCTTAAGTTTTATTTATTATTTACCTACTTTACACTTTTGATCTGCTTTATTTACAGCATACCTTCTTTAAATTTTAAATATGTTTTAAAGGTTGTTTTAAAGCGCATTTCAGTCACATGGATTTATTGTGGATTTTGAAAACAACTCAGTTTACAGGGTATGAGATTTTTTTGGGAGGCCTTCAATATGAGCGACAAGCCAATAGACCTTTTTTTTTCTATAGATGAAAAATTACTACAATTATGTTCAGATTACACATAAATACATTAATTCTGTGGGTAAAAAAGGAATAACTTTAGGATTAGGATGTATTGGGTAATACCAACCTACTGAGCCTGCTAGTAGGTAGGAGTAACAGTCTGAAGCCGTTCTATGGGACTGATAACCGCTAATAACGGACATTTAATGGGATGATAACATCCAAAGTGGCTGAAACGGCTGTGTGATCACAGGTCAGGTCACACTTTATTATCTACGGGTCCGTGTGTTCCCGGCCCGGTTTTAAATGGAACTATATTTATTTTCTCGTAATTTTACAACAATTTTCTCGTAATCTTATGACACTGACAATCTTCACACTGCAAAAACAATCTAGAAATAAGTAAAGATTTTTTTAATTAAGTGTATTTACCCTTAATTTGAGTAGGTAAGTAAGAGGATTT